TCGCAGAAAATCTAGTGCCAGTGCATTGAGCTTCCATGTTTGTCATGTGCTGTGGGTTTTATTGCTTGCGGAGTACCTTCCAATTTATGTATCTTTGACTTCCCATCTGACTCTTGCTTTTAACCTGTTTGTAATCGGGACCTAACTAGAAAGTTGTGGGACAAAAAAAATAAAATCAAAGTACTGTTCATCAGGCTACAAGGGGCTGTAGAGAGACTTGCTGCCAAAATTGTTTTCTCAAGGCCAAGCCTGCAGTTACAGTGGAACAGGTCAGGCAGGGTAGAAAACCCACCACAATGCCTGAATATTAACTTGTCGCAATCATTCCATGCAATGTGATCTTAATTCTGGTAGTTGGGAGATTTTTGACTTGACAAGTTGTGTAGGCATACCTCTCAGCTTCAGGAGTGGACACTTTTTTTTAGACCATTAATCATGCAAGCTTGATTTGATTACCCTTTTGGTGTCTCTGAATTTTTGGAAGTCTGCACCCCCTCACCCCACCCCCCAAAATCCAGATGCCTTTACACCTCTGAAATCAGCCTGTTTCTGGTTTGATTATCCTTTGACATTCATTCCATGCATCATTCCCCCACTTTTTTTTTTTCTAAGCATTCCTGGAGTTCTAACAAGACTCCTTCTCTGGTAAGGGCTGACCCCACAATCTCAGCATTACATTATAACATGACCAACTTTTTGTTTTTGGGGTGGGGTGGCAGTGACTACCAATTCTGAGGACTGAATCATGTAGTGTGTTTTGCAGGTGGTTAATTGTTGGGTGGGATTTTGGGGCCTGACTAATGTGGAAGCAACATTATTAATCCTTGAAATAAACTTAGTATGAAAATCCTGTCTACTGTTGAATCTTGTGCTTGCAGGACTCTGACTCAGCTAAAGAGTGTTCCCCTTAAAAGGATTTTTAAGGACAGAAGGTTGATTGCATTCACTGGAAGGACTTTTCCAGAGGGCAGTGGATATGCCTGAAAAGGGTGGGAGATAGGATCCTCAACATCTGTTTCTATGGCCACTTGAAGGGCCATAGTGTACAAGGCTTGTGAGCCAAGTCCTGGAAAGTAGGACCAGAACAAGGGCTGAAGGATCTTTCTGTAAAACTGGCCTGCCTTCTGTCTTCAGCATCTCAATCCCTTTAGCTAGAATGTACTGCTGTCTTTTCAGCATTGGTCTCCTTTTGTCAACAGGGGAAATTTTGCTGGATAGCCACCACGTTGTCTCTGTCCCTGTTCAAAATAGCTCTTGTGTCTCACATGTTAATTACTTAAAGCTTCCCACACTTGTATTTAACAGAAGTAGCAGCTCAGCTTCTAAACATCCCCCTTCTGCTATGGAAGAGCACAATGTGCAGAAACCCTGCTGGAATGAAGTTACAAAGTTTGCAAATGAAGTTCTCTTGAACCACAAGGTTTAGACAATACAAGTCAAAGAACCTGTTGGGATACTTAAATGCAGAAATCAGTAAATGCAAGTGCCTTTGCTCTCCAGTAGATAACTCTGCAGGAGAACATTTCATTACTGGACTACATCTACACTTAACATTACACTTACATCCATCCTTGAAGTCAAAACCCTATTGTTCTCTAGAGGTAGTCTCCCCACCTCCATGTACAACTTAAACATAAACTCCCTACTTTTGAATTCTCCTGATTGGTTATACCAGTTTGAAGTTTTGTACTTTGAGGACACCCAGATTCCCCCATCTCCAAGTTCACCATTTGTTTTTAATTCTTATTTGGCTTTGGTGAAATTCTTACACAACTTCCCCCACAATTTTTGTCAGACTTTTGCACACCATGCTCTGAAACCCTTTGAGGTCATCTTTATAAATTTACTTTTCCACTTGCATCATCAGCACATTTAGCAACCCTAGCTTCCATCTCACTCCAAATCACTTATTATAAAGTTGAGAGCCTGACCCATGACTTGTGTTGCAAACCGGGGGGAAAGAGTCCATTCATGTCTAATTTTTGAAAACTAAATGAACTGGATGCTGGAAATCAAAAAAAGTTGCTGGAAAAGTTCATCAGGTCTGGCAGCATCTAGGGAGAGAAATCAGTTAATGTTTTGGATCCCTTGACCCAGAGTTCTGAGGAAAGGTCACTACTGGACTAGAAATGTTAACTCAGGTCTCAATGGATGCTGCCAGACCTGATGAGCTTTTCCAGCAAATTTTGGTTTTTGTTTTTAATTTTTGAATCTTGATAGCTATCTGATCCCCTGCTGATTGACATTTCCTGGAGTTCTACCTTGCATTCCATTTCCTTACTTGCATCTGTCTAGAATGTTCCTTATAGTCATTACAGCAAAAGAGATGTGAAAAAAAAACCTGATTAGATCATTTTCTAACATTTTCCATGATTCAAAACTTCCTGTAAGACCAAGTCTGGCTCTCATTGCTAACTTGCCCATACTTGAATTTTTTTTCCTTGTCATTTTGATTTTATGCTGTCCAGTCCTCTGGCTTGCTATTCATCTCTAGTTAGATTGAAGGTTGACAGAATTTTTGTTTTAGAAAGGGAGGGTAGGTCCTTTAATTTCTCATTAGGTAGTGTCTGCCACTGCATCTGTTGCCCCAACCTTGAACCTAGTTAGCTGTGTTTCAAGACTGACAACATGAGATGCTGCAGACCATCAGCAGAAATTTCACAACACCATCTACAAGCCCATGGCCTGGCATATCCCACACACTACCATAGAACATTACAGCGCAGTACAGGCCCTTCGGCCCTCGATGTTGCGCTGACCTGTGAAACCAATCTGAAGCCCATCTAACCTAAACTATTCCATTATCATCCATATGTTTATTCAATGACCATTTAAATGCCCTTAAAGTGGGCGAGTCTACTATTTTTGCAGGCAGGGCATTCCACGCCCTTACTACTGAGTAAAGAACCTACCTCTGACATCTGTCCTATATCTATCACCCCTCAATTTAAAGCTATGTCCCCTCGTGCTAGCCATCACCATCCAAGGAAAAAGGCTCCCACTGTCCGCCCTATCTAATCCTCTGATCATCTTGTATGTCTCTATCAAGTCACCTCTCAACCTTCTCTCTAACGAAAACAGCCTCAAAACCCTCAGCCTTTCCTCATAAGACCTTCCCTCCATACCAGGCAACATCCTGGTAAATCTCCTCTGCACCCTTTCCAATGCTTCCACATCCTTCCTATAATGCAGTGACCAGAACTGTACGCAATACTCCAAGTGTGGCTGCACCAGAGTTTTGTACAGCTGCAACATGACCTCATGGCTCTGAAACTCAATCCCTCTACCAATAAAACCTAGCATACTGTACACCTTAACAATGCTATCAACCTGGGTGGCAACTTTGTGATCTATGCACATGGACACCGAGATCTTTCTGCTCATCCACACTACCAAGAATCTTACCATTTGCCCAGTACTCTGTATTCCTGTTACTCCTTCCAAAGTGAATCACCTCACACTTTTCCGCATTAAACTCCATTTGCCACCTCAGCCCAGCTCTGCAGCTTATCTATGTCCCTCTAACCTACAACATCCTTCCGCACTATCCACAACTCCACCGACTTTGGTGACATCCGCAAATTTACTAACCCATCCTTCTACGCCCTCATCCAGGTCATTTATAAAAATGACAAACAGCAGTGGCCCCAAAACATATCCTTGAGGTACACCACTAGTAACCATTGCTATCAAACCCTGGCTTGATGAGTACAGAAATAGCACTGGTTGCACCTAGAAATGTGATGTGAGGCTGCAACTACCTACTGCTTACCAAACAGCAAATGGTAGAGCTGTTGTTTCACAAGCAACAGAGCAGATCCAAACTCCGCGATCCTGCTGCATCTGGTCAAGCACAGTAGTGGACAATTAACTCCACAGCACCATCTGTACAAAAGGTAAGGATGTATTCGCCAGTCTTTGGCCAGAAGTGCCAAGTGGCTTATGCAGAGAGGTGGGGAAGAGAAAGAAAAGTGTCTCCAGCATTACAATATTCCAATTATAGGATGGAAGACATGCTTCAAAATGTGCTGCACTCCAATCCCAGCTTTACTTGTACAGCAACACCACCACTATCTGCCTGGAAAATTACCCAGCTAAATATAGAATGCTCTGTGCAGGGTACTGAGCCCAACTTATAGCTTGGGCTGCTTCAATGACCTTCCCTGCATTACAATATTCAGCACCATGCAAGACTCCTTAGAGACTGAAGTAGTTCATGTCAAAGTATGAAGGCTTGGGAACAGAAGTAGCTAGTAATATCCACATCCTGCACTGTAGGAGACAATGCCTGTCTCCAATCAATGGAGTGTAGTTTCATTCCTTGGCAATGAACAGCATCACCATTGCTGAATCCACAACTTCCTAGAGGTTCCCATTGAACTAGACCAGCCATACAGACATGTGATGTAACATCCCCACACACCTGGATGAGCACATCAGCATCCAGGACAAAGCAGAATGACCGAGAGCTAGATAGATAGTACAGCCAATGCTGGAGTTGGAGGAGTACAGGCCGGGCAGCCTCAGAAGAGTTCCTCTGATAGTGCCTGTCCTGCTGTATTCCTCCAGCTCCACAGTGTGTTTAGAACTACCCACTCCCTTTTGATTTCTTGCCCGTATTAATTAGCTTGAAACCCTGTCTGGTTATGTGGCTCACGAGGACACAGGTCTACATAATCACCTCGTAGAAATAGCAACTGGAACACTGGCAACATCACTGCTGTTCAAACAAACCCCAATGACAGATTGACATGGTCCCACTAGGCCTTTAGATCAAAGCCTCCCTCTAGCTCACAACCACCGGACAACAGAGGATATGGAATCTTGCTACACAAAGTAGTATGCACTAGGTCCTTGCAGGGGCTCAACCTCATCACTTGTAGTGATGTGTCGGCACCACTGAGTAACGTTGGAGCTTCAGTGAAGGTGGTGAGGCTGCAGTGATAATTTTCCCCCAGATCCTTTTGTTAAGCAGTATATCACAGAGCAGCTGACACAAATCAGATTTTCTGCTCAAAATTTTATTTACAAAGATTGAAGTCTGGAACTTTAAAAAGGGAAGCTGCTGAAAGATTTGCTTAAATTAGGACTTCAAACAATGACATTTTCCACCCCCCGAAGAGGGAAAAAAAAAAAGTACAAACAGCATCTTAGGGGCTTGTGTCACAACATGACTGTACCCCAACTTGAGCTGGACATTGCTCACTCCCTATAGAGGCCACAAGACACTCACAGACATTCTGAATAATTCATGTTTGACATTTAACACAAGTAAATTTGATGCTTTCATACTTTGGTGCACTTATTTATACATCCAACTCAATTCAGTAATTTTATTGAGCATGACTAGACATGAACCAAAGGCTGGTTACTCAAAACTGAACAAGCAATTGAGGAAAATGGAGAGAAGCCACTCAGGACTCCTATTTGTACAGCTGAACACAAAAACAAGGAGTATTGAGAATTCAGAATACTTTTTGTAATATCTGTGTGTCCAGCTGGTAGACAATATTAGCTCAGTGCCCGCTGAGCTCTCCCCTCAGCTCCACAGTGGTTTCACAGTGAGTGGATATCAATGTCACAAAATGGAACACGTTCCACCAAACACTCCCTAGACAGGGGCAGCACCAGGGTTAGATACAGAACGAGGCACTCTCTACACTGTTTCCCCAAACACTCGCAGGACGGAAGTTCAATATAAAGCTCCCTTTACACTGTCCCAGTCTACAAGTGCCCTCTCCAGTGATTTAGTAACATTAAAAAGGGAGTTGATGGTTACGATGTCAAAATTGGTTAGCGCAGTCTACTCACATTACCATCAGACTACATCAGTCCGTAAGGGCAGGCCAGGTGCTGGGAAGGGTCACGATTATTAGCCTGGATGGATGTGCGCACATCTGTATGTAGGAGTGCTGACTTATTAGCTATCCAGATCCTCAAGACACACTCTAGTGGTCCCTGGCATCAGGTATACCAGCGCCAATCAGGTGGCTAGGGCTTGGCAAGTCAGAGGGGGCCTCAGGGACAGGAAAACATTGACCTAGCCATTTCTATTCAGGCAGGTCTTTCACTAGCCAGCCTGCAAATCAACCCATTGGCCAAAAAAAAAACGTAAGTGGTGGCAGGCAGAGGGGGACACTGCAGGGACTTTCAAACACCAACCCTTACCCACCCAAGGTGCCAGGTTCACATGGAGGGAGACTGACCCCCCCCCACCCACCTGGGGCAGAAACCCACAGCTAGCCCCACCCTGATTCATGTTCTCAGTGGTCAACAATGATAAAAACATGATGAACAAAAATAAAAACAAAAACAGAAAAAAGGTATGTTTGTGCATTGGCCCAAACAGATGGTCGTCTCCAGATGCTGTGTAGTGAAGCAGAGAATAATCCTACTGTTCCCCTCGCAGGGAACTCAAGCAGTTCCTTAGTAGTAATAGGTTGGCCTGGAAACAAAAAGATAAAGATTACTTCCACCAAAAAAAAAAGTTTCAACAAATAACTTCTCCCAGCAACTTGCATTTATCCAGTGTTTGCATGGTTAAGCATAAAGACGCTCCATAAAGGGCTGCAGGCAGAATGAGGGCGAGAGCATGTGCATTGGGTGGGGGTGGGGGTGGGCAGTGATCAGAGGGTCATTGGAGGTTCTACAGACCCTGTGCTTGCAGGGGGTGGTGGGGGGAGCAAATGCAGGAGGCGCAGGAGGCAAAGGAAATACACATCCAGAACATTCCATTTTAAAAACCATGAGGCCATTTAGCCTGGTAAATGTGCACTCACTCTCCAAACAAGCAGATTAACTTTGTTCCATGTTTGCAGCATTCCACAAATTACTCATGTTGTGGCAAGTTTATTTATTTCTGGAATGTTCTGGAGTCAGATTCCAGCCCTTTAGGGAAAGATGTTGCAATTCATTGCCTTGTGCATAGTGAGACAAACATCACCTTGCAATTGCGAACAGAGATTGCAAGGGAGGTCCAGTCATTTGCAAGTCAGCTCAATGTGTGCCAACACCCAGTTCCTACCTTTGCATGTTTCAGCTCCAGCTCCGTCATCTCAATCATGTTCTTCCGAAAGGCAGACACTCTTCGAATTTTAAAGTCTGAGAGTTCTACGGGGCAGGAGGTGGAGAGAGAGAAAGAGAAACAGAATTTTTTTTAAAAAAAAAATCAGAGTCACCCAGGACATGCACATTCTTGTAAATGTCACTTGCCTATCCCACTGCAAACACACACTAAATCTCATTCAGCCCTTCTCACTACTGCTTCAGGAGGGGAGAGAATAGGGCACAGGGTGAGGAAGGAGAAGGAGCCTTTTTCCCAGCTGCAGACATTCCACAGCCCATGAAGGACTTTTTTTTTTTGACATGTAAAAGTAGGGAACACAGCAGCCAATTTGCAAACAGCAAGCTGCCACACAGCAGCGAGGGACTGACTCATCATCATCTATTTGTAAGAGACATGGGGGGAAAAAAATCCCCCCCCCACCCCCACCAACTCCAAGACAGACAGCATCTCTGACAGGCTGGCTATCCCTCTAATTTTTGCCTCGGACATCTCTCACACCCACTCTGCAACCCCAAGGACTGGTGGGTCCATATCTTCAGTCAGCCTGGCAAGCAGTGTGACCGTGTAGCATGGCCCTAGTTCCTGAAATCGCTTGCTCACCGTGGAAGTGGTGAAATCAACAGCTTGAAAAAAAAGGAAATGCTGCAGATGCAGCATGGATGGACAGAATTAAATACAGACTGAGAGGAGGCAATGGTCTAGTGGTATTCATCTTCATAGAATCCCTACAGTTTGGAATTAGGCCATTTGGCCCAAGAATTCCACACCGCCCCTCCGAAGAGCATCCCACCTCGACCTATTCCCCTACCCCTATATTTCCCATGTCTAACCCACCTAACCCAAACATCCCTGGGCACTATGGGCAATTCTCTGGGTTGTTAATCCAGAGAATGTCCTGGGAGCAGGTTCAAATCCTGCCACAGTGGATGGTGGCATTTAAATTCAATAAAAGTCTGCTATTTAAAAAAAAAGTTAGGGTTAGGCCATCCTTACCTGGTCTGGCCTACATGCAACTCTAGACCCACAGCAACGTAGTGCCTCTTAACTGCCCTCTAGGATGGGCAATAAATGCTGGCCTGGCCAATAATACCCTCCTACTATGAATGAATTTAAAACAAACCAAGGTCATACAGAAATCAGTTTCTCTCCACAGACACTGCCAGAACCAAGTTTATCCAGCATTTTCAGTTTTTGGTTTCACATTTCCAGTGTCTGCAGTATTTTGCCTTTGAGAGTTGATGTGTTTCCCCATTTTAAGAGGATAGCCTAGACCTTAGAAAATGAGCAACTGGGGAATGGCCAAAAGGAGCCTGTTACCTTGCTTGGCTGATTCAGAAAGTTTTTCAAATTTCTGGCAGCAGCGTTGCTGATTCGCCTCAGCGTGTTTCACATCCCTGTTCTTCATGCGGGCTCGGTCCAGGGCTTTGTTGGCATTTTCATAATCAGACAAGGAGCGAGCTCTCCGGTACAGCAGATCCTGAGCAACAAATTCACAAGCTTATAACTTCAGGTCATCCCCAAACAAAAAAAAAAAAACGATTCGGAGTGTAAACTGCACTCAAATGGAATAAGTCCCCAAAATGTTTGAGGGACAGGAGAAGTTGTTTGTAGAAGTTCCAGGGAACAAAGTGAGGTTTAAAAAGTGAGGGGACCACCCTACCCCCGCCCCCGCCAAAAGCAGCTGAAGGCACAGCCAGCAATGAGGGAGTGATGGGAACCCGAGGACGCTTGGGTGACCTGGACTGGAGGACAGCAGAGATCAGGCTGGGTTATTAGGACTCAAAAAAAGGTGACAGGTGCAGGGGCCTGCAGGAGGTGACAGAGATAGGGAAGGGTGTTCCCATGTATCTGCTGCCCTTGTCCTTCTGGATGGAAGTGGT